TAGTCTAGCAGCTAAATCCATGCCTTGCATGTGCTAGGGGCCCATGTTGGCACTGGTTCATATACTGCTGCTACTTCCCATCGAGCTCCCTGCTTGTGGCCTCAGAAAGCAGTTGAGGACGGCTCAAAACCATGGGACCCACATGGGAGACCTAGAAGAAGCTCCAGGGTTCAGATTGGCACAGCTCCGGCTGTTGTAGCCACTTGGGGAGTGAACCAGTGGACAGAGGATATTTCTCTCTGACTCTCCTTCTCTCTGTAAATTTTCCTTTCCAATAAAAATAAATATTAAAAATATACATATAAAGTATAAGTGTTCTAAAATATTTATTAAATTCTTTTAAATTAAGATGAACAATCTATCATGTATTGACGTAACTAATATCCTTATGAAAAACAAGAAATTTTATCAAACTAAAATAAACAAAATGAGAAGTGAGTACTTTGGCAAACTTCTTCAATATCTGTCTTCATGGAACATAGATTCTAACAATTGTTTTGACATTCAATTTGTTGTAATATTTTTGACTGGATTACATGGAGAAAATCCAAGCACATGTCAATATGTTACAAAAATGAGCAGTAATTCAATATTTTTCACATAATTATATTCCTTTTTAAATACTATTCTAAAGCTATTGTAACAAACATTAGCTACAATTGAAGCTATGTCAAGAAAGAATTTGTACTCCTTAAGCATTTTGCTACATTACAATGTATTGGTCTATTTTTATAGTTTGAATGAAGCTTCTACCAAGCATGATTTTGTGGCATAATACATTGGTCATTTGGAAAATACAGATTCCCTAAGTTACATGAATCTTCTAAATGCTGACACTTCTCATTATATACTGCACACTCAAAAAAATCACATTTGATAACATTATCATTAATATAAGTAGAAAAAGCCTTTAATATTGAGATCCTGGTGAAAGACACAGGTTTTTCAAAATTCAGACTTTTGCCAGAAGGCTTCAATTTCATCTTTACCAAAAAAAAAAAAAAAAGATTCAGTGTTTTCCTTGGAATGATAGATTTACTTTATTTGTTGACAAGAAAATGTTGGCCAAAAACTCAAATCTGAGTTGCAATCGATTGTCTGTCAGTCATTCTTTAAAATAAAATAGTGTTTTTGGCTGTGAGTGACAGACAGTGAAGATTGCAAATATCTCTGGTGCAACTTGGTGTCATGGCCATGAATTATGCTGAGGCACCAAGAGTTTTACCCTATTTTTCTATCACCATGGACAATGTCAGCATAGTGAAACCAAGGGATAGGTTCAGAAAATTATTATAGATGTGAATGTAACCTTATGGGCCTCTTCATAGAACCTTAAGGACCCTTGGAGATCTTGGGTACTCACTTTGAGAAATCTGATCTAAATTAATCAGGAGGGGGCCAAGCACTGAAGCCTATTGTCTAAAATTCTCGTCTTATACACCTGGGATCCCATATGGGTGCCGGTTCATGTCCCAGTTGCTCACTTTCTTCCCACTCAATGCTTGTGGCCTGGGAAAGCAGTGGAGGATGGTCCAAAGTCTTGGGACACTGTACCCATGCAGGAGACCTGGAAGAAACTTCTGGCTCCTGACTTCAGATTGGCTTAGCACCAACCACTGTAGCTACTTGGGGAGTGAATCAGCAGATAGAAGATCTTTTTGTCTCTCAATCACTCTGTAAATTTGACTTTCCAATAAAGTTAAATAAATCTAAAAATCTATCAGGAAGTCATTCTATCTACCCCTCCTCTCTGATTGCTTATAATGGCTGGAAACTTGAATGGGTGGGAGAGGGAAGTGAGCAATCATTTGAATTCCACCCCTTCACCTTCAAGCCAGTTTGATTTTTGTCTGCTCTAGGCATCAAAAATATAGCTACAAACAAAACACAAAATGCCGTTTTCTTGGAAACTAATATGCAAATATGTCATCAGATAATTGATCTCATTTATCTTCATTCTTTAAAGGAAGATATATTTATTCCATTTTTTAAAGATTTATTCTACTTTTTATTGGAAAGTCAGATATACAGAGAGGAGGAGAAACAGAGATCTTCCATCTGTTGTTTTGCTCCCCAAGTGGCTGCAGTAGTCAGAGTTGTGATGATCTGAAATCAGGAGCCTGGAGTTTCTTCCTGGTCTCCCATGTGGGTGCAGGGTCCCAAGGCTTTGGGCCATCCTCGACTGCTTTCCCAGGCCTCAAGCAGGGAGCTAGATGGGAAGCAGGGATGCCGGGATGAGAACTGGCACCCATATGGGAACCCAGCACATGCAAGGCGAGGACTTTAACCACTAGGCTATTGCATGGGGCCCAATATATGTATTCTTATTTCTGACATTCCTTTTCTTTTTCTCTGTAAACAAAAGTATTCGTTTATACTACTGATAGTAGGAAAAATGCCATATTTCCTCCCAATGAATCCACCATGCCATAGTACAAAAAGCTATTACATTTCACACCACACTGTACACTAAGTTCTATAATTCCATTTAGAAAATTTTCTTCTTTTCAGTTGTTTTATGTTTATTTATAGTTTTGTTATTTTATTTTTTAAATAATAAGTTTATTCTATTTTTAGGATGTTTATACATAGCTAAGAGGGATACACGTCCATGTGGACCATCAATTAATCAGCGAGGGTGGTGAGGATTGAGAAATGGAAGAAAGTGATGATGCACCTGCCAGAAACCTCCTTTTTCCTTCTAGTATCTGGGGAAAGTAGAGTGAGAAGGAGAAAGGGCTGTTCCCAGCAACCTAACCACATCTTTACCCAGGAGAGGGAGAGGGCAACCCAATGTCATCCCAGAGCCCTCAATGCGGAGCATACACACATACTAGTGGTTGCAGTCATCTAGTCAGTTCTGTACCCAGCGCCAACTCTTACACAAAACAATGGATACTGCAGCAGAGCCTAACCCTGCCCAGTACACACTCTGCCCTCACATACACCAGTGGGAAGTGCAACCTAATTGGAGCAACCCCAAACAACTCCCTACACCCACCCCCAGCCCTAGTTCCTCTGCATGCCAGTATGTGCAGCAGACTAGTCCAGTCTGTCCCACATCCCATTCAGCTCTCATACATATCAGTGAGCTTTGGGGCCTAGCTCAACTGAACCAACCCCTTTACCCAGACCACACTCATGCCAGTGGGTACCACCAACTGTATGGCCACACACACCCCCAACCCTGGTTCTCATCTTCACCAGTAGGAGTTGTAGCCCATCAGAGAGGTGCCCACAGTTTCACTACTGGGCCCACTTCCTCCATGGTTAAGTATGACAAGACTTTCCCCCAGTCCTAGCTCTTGCCAACTGATACTGTGGCAAACCCTGACCCACCTGCACTTACTCTGGTTCATGCATGTACCAGTAGATATGGTCACTTAGCCCAGCCTGGATCTCCCCCAACCCAGCTCCCATGCAGGCCAACGGATTTAATAGTCCTGCACATCCTGGTCTGCCCCTAGTTCCAGTCACCAGCCATGGCTTTTGTGTGTGATAGTAGGTGGTGCTTGATAAGAACTACCCCAACTCAGGTCTCCCACATGGGCAGGTGTATTGGTTTCAGCCCAAAATGATCCCTGGTTTCCCTCCTGTAAACTACTTGGTTTCAGTCCCCTCATTTATCTGCAAGTGCAATATTTAGGTTGGAGGAAGTCCCGTAGAAATCACTCCTCAGCTATCACATTCTCCCTCAGCAGTCCTCTTTTCCACACATCTCCAGAATCACTTCCCTGAGCAATCCACAGCCCTCCATGCATAATCCTCTGGCAGTGCGCTGTGCCAGTCTAGGGCCCTGCTTGCCTGCCAAGGACCCACACACGCTCATGCACAGGTCCCCAGATCTAGTCTGTTGGCATGTTGGTGTCTGCCACCCCATATATATTTGTTTTTAAATTAGAATAGGTGACTATGCTGACACACTGGTATAATTAGCACAAATTTGGCATGAATCAGGATGCCCATCAACTATTAGCTTTTCTCTAGCAGTGTAACACCTGCCTAAATAAAATGCAACCTAGACCTTTGCCTATAGCTAGAGTTGACATTCAGTCAGTACAGGTTCTGACTGTTCTACTTCCAATCTAGCTTCCTATTAATGGAGCTGGGAAATCATCAGAGGCTGGCCCAAGTTCCTTGGTCCCAGTACTGATGTAGGAGACCAGGATGAATTTCTGATATGGGCCTGGTCCAGTTCTTTCCAATGCAGCCATTTGGGGAGTGTCGACAAATGAAGACTGCACTCTGTAACACTTCTTCTCTCGATGTAAAAAATATGCCTGCCCAAAAAATATTTTTAAAAAAGGAAGTGTTCCTAGAGCCCAGAAATTCAGTGATGGCTCTTGGTAATGCTGTCACTCTGCCATCTTTTCCATAATGAGAACTGTGTTCCTCTATGTGCAGATTCTTCAATGTAATTTATCTGATTTATCTATTCTTTTCAAGAACACCATGTACAAATTACTGACTAATAAAAGGAATTTCTCCTGTTTCTTAGAAACAGGAAGAAGACTCCACGTTGAAAACAGGGGGAAAATGCAGTATAAATTTTTACATTTACATTCTAATAATAGTGGCTCTTGGAACAAGGCATCTCCCTATGGGGCTCCTTGCAAAGACTGTGGAGTTGCACCAGCTCTCCTACACCTCTGGTTCTTGATCATGGAAGAATCAGCCAAGACAGAGAGCATATTATCTTCAGAGTAGTTAGTCTTCATGCAAAATAGCTGTTTCCTCCCTCTGCATGGGTAAAAAGATATTTTGCCTGCCGGAAGTCTTTTGGTCTCCTTGAGTGAGATAGAGCCCACTTTAGGACATTCAGGAGACACTCTTTCCCAGTAACACACTAACTGCAGCCTAAGTCCTCAAGTTCTCATACAAGTGTAGCCCACAGAGAAAATTTGTTGATTCTCTTTCTTAATTTGTCCAGATTTTTAAGAATTGCATTCAGTAGTAGTTGTTGCTTTACTGTCTATGCAGCATCTAAACTTCATTCTAACTAGAAGGAGCACCCTGAGTTTCTCTCTGATTGCCCCCCTCAACATACACACACACACACACACACACACACACACACACACACACACACACACACATACCTTACATAATTTAGAAGGAAGCAAGCTGCCACACATCCATCACGGCAACTGACAGGATACTTGTGCTCACGCTCCTGCTGCGGGCATGAGCCTGGGCCTGGGCCTGTGCCATGGGCCTGCGGCTTAGGCTCAATCACTTGCTCCCTGATCCATACTTTGAATCTGGAGCAAGGAATGAGAGAGACAGAAAGAGAGATTGAGATTGAAAGAGAAAGCATTGACAGCATGACATCCAGACTGATCAATAACAGGGCTAAATTTTCTGACTTATTTTAATAAAGAAAAGCTATACCTAATTTCTGCTACTTGCAATCAAGACCATGACTGCCTCACATATAACTAGGAGCATTTTTTCATTGTCTATAACATATAGTTATCAGATTAACTAAACCATATATTTTTGAAGCTAAGATTAAAAACACAACACTAAAGTTGTAAAGCAGCTAATATTCCTTGCTCTTTTTCTCATATACTACCTTTTCTTGGGATTGCAAAATGAGAATAAGCATATTTTCCCCTTTTAACTAATGAATACATGGTAGGAAGCCAAAATAACATAAATCCTTCTGCTGAACAATTTAAATTAGATGACATATAAATGAGGTTATGTGTTCCCAAATTAGATTTCTTTAGATTTGTTTTATTATTATTAACTTTTGGCTTAGCGCATGAGTGAGTTGGTTCCAGAATTCATGTGGAGAAACTCAATGAAAATGGCTATATTGATATGCCCTTCATGCTGCTGAATTCATCCTGTCAAATCCCTTCACATTTCGTTTTCCCTTCCATCATATGTCACTGAAATACACCGCTATTTTATGTCTGTTGCAAGGGAGGAAAACCCTTACCAACTCTTCATATTCTCACTCTCAAAGCTTCTGCCCCATTATTATAGGAATATAAAATGCCAAGTTGCTGTTTGAAAAATACCGGCTGCTTTCCATAAGGCAACCATACTGTAAAACAATCGATTCTCTGCCTTCCATGAGATTTAGACATTTTTACATCAATAAAATTTGCTATTAAGGCACCTCTTTTTCTAAAGCACTTTCTGATGTAATTTTTAAAAATGATCCTGTTCTCATTTTACCAACCTGTCTTGGATCCTGTTACCTTGACAACAAGATAACATACCATATACTTCATGAGTTACAGTACTAAACACAGCAGAGTTGAATCTGGTGAATATCATCATTAAAGCACGCATAAATGGAAGATGAATAGTAGAATTATAAAACATCTACAAAGATTTTCAAGAAGCATTAAAATCTCTGCCTCATTGATATTTTTCAGAAATTCCTAAATATTTTATATAACATACATAGAAGTCTTAAATGTGTCACATAGTTTTATAAAATAAAGGCCTGCATTTCCCTATGCTCCTACTCCACTTTATGGCTGAAGAAACAGATAATCAAGATCACAGGGCAAATTAACTTCATATCTCAGTTTCAACTCCAGTCTGATTAGGTCCTCTATCTATTTACATTTACACTTGATGTTCAAACACATCTGACAATTGTCACATGTTTGAAATTTAGCTTAAATGTTATGTTTAATGACAAAAAAAATCAGTTCTTTGACATCACAGAACCCCCTCACACCTGAAACAAGGCAAACATCCCCACACAGATTATTTAGCTCCAAATACCTTGCCTTACTTCATGTTAAATACTAAACTGGAGAAGGAAGATAACTCACATTTCTAGAAAGAACTAGGTCTTCAAGACTCTTTATGCATAATGTCTCATTTCTCTGCTTAATGATTAAAAACTGTTACTTAGCAAGATCAAGGATCCATAAAAACATGCTAAAACAATGCAGAGGCAGAGACAGAAACAAAATATAGCTCTTTGTCATGTATTGACAAGTTTCCTAACAAAATTGTTACCAGTGAAAACTCAAAAGAACTCTCACTTGACACACAGGATCAGTTGCCCTGGAGCAAAATTAACATTTCCTCTTCATTTGTTTCATATGCTGGCTTCATTCTGCTTATACCACACCAAGAATCAGACATTAGCTTCACACTCTAGCATTATTTCTGCTTCAAAGCTTATATCATTTCGAATTATCTCTATTATTAATAGCACTAATATTCCTCATAATAGGTCCTCCAAAGCTAAACTTTAGGCTTATGGAAATAAACTTCATTACTCACATCTTAAATTGACTGAATAACTCTACCAAATTACATGGTTACAATAAATTCATAAATACATATCTGAAGAATCTAACTGCATCTTTACAGAATTAACACTTCATAACTTTTAAAATATTCTACTACAGAGAAAAAAATAAATACTGTTGTCATTCATTTTACTCCTCAATATTCATTCTCAGACAAAATATAAATGAGATATCATACTTTAGGGGGGAAAATTAACAAAGCAGTTCCTTTGCCAATGGACTGTCTAGTTTCTACTACAACTTCTTCTAAATATCTACTAAAATATCCATGATACTGAGAAAAATTAGAATACCAACCACTGGTCTAGGGTTTCCTAGACGGACATTGGTAGCCAACCTTGAAGATACACAAGATTAACAGTGATATTCAGCCTTACTGTAGGAGGCACAGAGATGTGTCATTGAAAGGCATGGATCACACATATAATGGGAAAATTATACTTTTCCTTTTCAATTTTCACTAAAGCCTTATGACCAAAGCAAGATTAAAGTATCAATTCAGTCCTAAATTGTTATCATCTCTCCTAGATTTGGAAATCTCCTTCATAATCTGAAAGAGCTGATCACAACCTGCAAAGGAATATAATTCAGCTAGAATTTGATAACAAATTACTTTGTTTGTAGCATATTTATTTCTATGAACAACTTCCATTTCTGTCTTCACTAATTTTTTTATCTAAGGTTATATAAATTTGGTCTTTTTTTATTAATTTCATTTTTAATTTTGAATTTTATGGTACAATTCCATAGAGTCTGGGATCCCCCCAAAATAATTCCCACCCCCTGACTGATTTTCCCTATATTGTTACAATAGCATAGTCCTTCATAAGGAGTTATAATTCCATCAGTCTCTTATTTACGTGTGCTCCAACATTGCTAGTAGAGACAATATTAGACAGTCCAGCATCCATTGTCTAGTTATGTTCGACAGTTCCATTAGGAGTGCATCTTTGTTTTGGAAGTAGGGATGTATGTTGTATTGTATCTTCACATCTGGATATGGTAGTCTCTATTACTTCATCATTATATATTTGTTTAAATGAGAAGCCATGAAATAAGATCAACAACAAATATGAAGTTAAAACAAAAACCAAAAGAAGAAAACATATAGCACCATGGAGTCAAAAAATGCATCATTGAATATCCAGTGCATGGGTGACAAAAAAAAAAACACTAAAGCCTCTTGGGTAAAATGAGGCCACCATGCAATCCATGAACCAGCGATGAATTCAATAAGAGAAAAGAAAGAATTTGGAAGAAATTAAAGTGAAATAAAAAAACATCAAAACAAAATGGTTATTGAACTTAAAATTTGCATGATCATATCCTTATATTAATGAGAACATATGGTATTTGTCCATTAGGGATTGGATTATTTCACTGAGCATAATGGTCTCTGGTTGGGGCCATCTAGTTGCAAATGGTATAATTTCATTCTTTCTAATGGCTGAGTAATATTCCATGGAGGAGATGTACCATAGTTTCTTTAACCACTCCTCTAGAGAGAAACCAGGGCTGTTTCCATGTCTTTGCTATTGCAGATTGTGCTGCTATAAATACAGGATTACAGATCCCCTTCTCATATGCAATTTTCATTTCCTTTGGGTATATTCCTAGGAATGGAATAGCTGGGTCATATGGCAGGTTTATTTGCAATTCTCTAGGCATTCTCCATACTGATTTCCATAGTGGTTGTACTAGCCTGCACTTCCACCAGCAGTGAAGAAGGGTACCTTTCTCCCCACATCCATGCCAGCAGGTGTTGCAGTAGAGTTCTGAATGTAGGCCAATCTCACTAGAGTAAAGTGATACTAAAATGTGGTTTTCATTTGTATCTCCCTGATGACTATGGAGCCTGAGCATCTCTTCATATGTCTGTTAGCCATTTGAATCTGTTCTATAGAAAAATGTATGTCTGTTCATTTCCTTTGCCCATTTTTCCACAGGGTGTTTTTTGTGGTTTTTTTGTTTGTTTGTTTGTTTGTTTTTTGTTTTTTTGTTTTTTTTTACTGTCCCTGGGTTTCTGAAGCTCTCTGTAAATCCTGGATATTAGTCTCCTATCAGTTCTGTAGTGTGCAAAGATTTGCTCCCGTTCTGTTGGTTGCTTCTTCACTTTGTTGATAGTATCCTTTGCTGTACAGCAGTTTTTTAGTTTGATATAGTCCCATCTGTTTATTTTGCCTTTGACTGCCTGTGCTTTTGGCATCTTTTCTAAAAAGTTTTTCTCCATTCCTATTTATTGGATAGTGCTTCGTATGTTTTAAAATGGAAAAACCTGCCACATTCCTGGATTGGCAAGATCAACATCACCAAAATACACATATTATCAAAAGTAATACACAGAATCAATGCAGTCCCAATAAATTTCCCAATGTGATTCATAGAAGTAGAAAAGAAGATAAAAAAGTTCATCTGGAAACGTAAGGGACCATAAATAGCCAAAGCTATCCTGAAGAATAAAAACCAAGCTGACTGGTGCAAGCATAAACTAGAATGGGTGAAGGTTGGTTGGGCTTTGCTGCAGCATCAGCTGCCAGAGGCTGGCACTGGGGGCTAAATCTGTCAAGTTAAACTGCAGAACCACCTGGAGAGTGCATACTCCGGGAGCGGGAGTGGCCTAGTATGGAAATAGTGGGCACCTCCCTCTTGGTTTACCACTCCCACAGGATAGGCACAGGGGTGGCTAGACAGAAAGGCACCGACCAGTACATATGGACTGGATAG